GACACCGTTGGGAGTCCCCCTTCCGTGTCTTATGTTACTTGGGGTGTATTAAGAAGGCTACACCACTTGTAACAGTAGTAAAGAACAGTTAGTACGTAATTACTTTTAAGATATTTATATAAAATAACTCAGAGACTGATTTGTATAACATATCAGAATATTCGGTCTATCATTATAACTTAATCAGTTACTATTGTCCTCTTATTATATACTTTTTTGAATATTTTAATCTAATTATGTCATTAAATTAAGTAAGATGCATAAAATCGATCATGTAATTAAAAGTTAAAATATCTTATAAAAGCGAAAAAATTCAAAAAATAATTAATGTTTGTTTTGTAATAAAGCAAAAAACCAAAAGTAAGCTGCATTCTCAAAATAGATCTTAACTTATATTGCAGTAAGTTGCTATTTAGTTAGAATATAAAATCAATATTTATGATTTAATTTTAAACCTATCTTTTTTTCTTAGACATTTTATGTTCACTTGTAGCGTGTGTAGTAAAACTTTTGGCCATCTAACGAGCTTTAAAAATCATAAAAAGGTTCATAAAAACTAGTATAAAGTTGAAGATGAAACTGACGACTCTGACGAATTAGATATTATAAGTAGAAGAAATAATTATAATGTTGAAAGTAAACCTGACAATAGTATGAATACTTATAATTCTGGTGAATTAGACATTATAAACAGACAAAATAGCTATTCTGTCGAAAGTGAAATTAACAACAGTATGAATACATATAATTCTGACGAATTGGACTATCACGTAGAAGGTGAAATAGACAATAGTATGGATATATATAATTCTGACAAATTAGATGCTATAAATAGACAAAATAATAAACTGACATTTGACGATCAAGAAAGTGCTGATGAATATAACCTGACATTTGATACTCTAAGTATTGCTAATAAATCGAATCTAATATTTAATAACTGGGGGGACATATTAGAAAATAGCAAGATTATTAACGAAGCTGAATTTCAGAGTGATAATAGCGAAAGTGAAATAGACAATACAGATTTTCCAAGTACTGCATACCAAGATTTCATAGACATAGTAATTATCATAGTTGCTAATTTAATCAAAGTCTTTGGTTTTTAAATAATACTTTTTTTTTAATTTTAGGTAATTAGATATAATCTTTCTTATACGGCTGGTGATGCTGTATTAAAGTTTATGAAAAGATATGGTCAAATTTTAAAAAAAATTCTGCTAC